ATATTTTTTGTTACTGATGTGCCAAGGGTGCTACCGCGTGAGCTGCGCTGGGATCGAGTGGGAGCGCTCGGGTTCGAAGCAGTGGCGTTCGTCTCTGGTGCGTCTGTGAACATGGAGTCAAACGCTGCCGATGGCCGGCGTTTGAATCCACGGTCCAGAGGCAGAGGCCGCCAAGACGCCGATAAAAGTGTGGCTTGGCTAGTGAGGGTGCTTGTTAGCTCAAGCTTAGCCAAAGAATAGACATTCTGAAAATAACAATCGTGATAAGATTCCGTCGCTCACATAGCTATTTCTTATTGTACATAAATGCTGTACATACATGTAAATTGTTTGTAATAATGTTGAAGAGATGACAGACTCAACTATTGCTTTTGTATTCCTAGGTCATAGTTAAGATGTAAATAAGTCGTAGTACAAAATGGTTGGAAATATTGTGTGTGCATGGTGGATTGATGGAAATTTTTCAGAGAACTATCCGATTTATTATGGTTCATAGTGGAACTGTTAATCAAAAGTATGTTAACAGCAGGACAATTTTTTTTCTTTAGTAGGAAAACTACTTTTAAACAAAGTCCAAATGATTTTATTTTTCTTCTAGATTATTTCCATCAATACTATCCATGGGAAGTCATTTATCATATCTGTATTGGTTTTAGCATCAGCCTTTCGATGTTTTAAAATCAATGACTGATCTCCAATCTGTTTTGAACAAACCAAAGATCTGCTTTTTTCTTTTCACATTGTCTTTTCTTTAGGTACTGTCTTTGAGGAGCCTTATTGGGTTAAAGCACTGATAAGATGTATTTTTGTAATACTCTGAAGAGAAGACAAACTTTCTTTTTGTTAAGGAATCAATTAATTCTTTTCTATACAGTTGTTGACTTTCTTCCTTTGTGTTGTGCTACTTAAATCCTTTTCTTCAGTGACATAACCAGAATGCCTTTCCTGTTATAACTGTTTCCCATTTAATTTGTTTCTTGAATAAGTTTTACTTTCCAACATTGAATACCTCTTGCTCTGCTAATGTAAATGTAGTGTAAATATGAGTGTACATGAGTGTATAATGTTAAAAGTCTGATCTGTGATTTCAGTTTTAGTTTTGATTGTGATGCATGTCTTTTAGGATCTAAGTAATTCTATTTTTTCTCTAAATCCCCTTGAAGTGTTAAGGAACACAGTTGCAAGCACAGAACAATTATTATTCTTGTGTCATATCTAGCCATTTGTGACAAACATTTTGACAATGTGCGTACTGAAACATTTTATAAGAATTTTTTTTACCATACTGTTAGTATCCTTCTATTCAATAATTATCTTCCTTTGCATTTAAGTTTGTATGCAAGTTGATGTACTTATAGATTGGTAGAAGGTCTGCAGCTGCATCAAACTAATGTCCAACGTGACATTTTTTGAGGCATTCCAGCAGTTTTGTCAAAGAATATTTTTTTATAATAATATTTAAATTTGAGCCAATATATGTTTCTTTGCAATACTCACAGCTATTTTAGAAATGCAACAGTATTTAGTCTTGTGCTGATAGTCAGTGCATTAGTCAACTGAGCAAACAAAAATGACAGAGCACTATCCTAGAATTTTTAACAAAATACTGTTGAATGTCAAGTGTGAGGTTTTGTCTGGAGCATTGCAAGCCTATATTATGTTATTTCACAATCTCGTTAATTTGTTTCCCTCCTTATTATTTGTCGATTGGTGTCCATATTTAGATGTCACGTGTAGAGCATCTTAAATTATTTTTTTCTTAGTTGGTTGTCCTTTCATATTGGCTAGTCTTCCCAGCCACTTTTAAAAAGAGAGATATCAGCTATTAGGTTCTTTTATGCATTTTCTGAAATAAAATGTGAAAAAGAGCAGACTCAAACAGTAAAGCTGAAAGACTGCTGTGTGCAATTACCTCTTTAATTTTCACTTATTGAAGAAACTTGCCAAACGTAAGGCAAAGTGCAATAGAAAAGTTTTAGTTTTGTTTCTGCATTTATGGTTGTTTTCTATCACATACCTACTCCGGTAGAAATTAAATCAGAAGATAAGTTTTATGTTTTATCAAATTGAATTGTGAGTGAGAAGTACTTAATTTACTTCTACTAATCTCCTCTACTTTCTTTCCTTGTGACATGCTAAGTTTGAGAACTGTCCATTAGTTTAATTGCAATCTCTACCACACTAGAAATCAAACCGGAGTAAAGTATCATAAAATATGTTTGCAGTGACCATGTGCATCTTGTTTCCCTGGTCCGTGGAATTTTCAGTTAATACGCTGCTCCTACCACTCAACTTCCATACTTCTCTTGAGTGTTATAAAACGTTAGTAGTCAATTGCACCATTTTTATAATTGAAGTGTTCTATTAAAATTCTGATCAATTCAGTGAAGATTAGCAATGTTTTCAGTTAGTGCAAATATTACGTCTCCAGGACTAAGCCTCTGTGACCCCACACTATGTGTGAAAATGTTGATTAAAAGTAAGTTTGATATTGTTTAATTAATAAAGTCGCTGTCATTGTTTGTAAGATTATTATTTTTTCATTTAACTCAACCACAACAACGATGAACCCTCACACTTCAAAAGAATCAGGCCAACTCCTTCAAGCAGATTTTAATGGTAGGTCACTTTCGTAAAATAGCTCATTGCAGAGCAAAACGTTGACACAGCTTTATGAAACAGAAATAAAAAGTCACATCCAGCCAAAATTGTATACACACAAGACTGGCTCGGCTCAACTCAGCAGTGCCAATTTTGAAGGTTGAAGTTTTGAATGTGAAAAGGTTCGGATCCCAAATGAAAGGATTAAGCCTGAGCCACGTAAACAGAAATTTAAGCTGCTGTGAGTACAAAAATCTCGATCAAGAATCGATCTTGAAAGCAGTCAATACAAATTTAAGCATACGGCTATGTTCTTACTTTCTCTTGTAATGAGCTGCCATTTGCTTGACCGCTTGCAATCTCGCCATGTGTGGTATGGTGGCGAGAGGCGGCTCAGGGCTCAGGGCGGCCGACAGACGGCGGCCCAGTAGTGTTGGGCCCATCTCGCTCAGTATTGTTGGGCACGGTAGGAAGGGGGACTGGTGCAACACTCAAACTCAGCCAGCCGAGAATAGGCTGACTCGTTCCACAGTTACTTTGCCTCTCTAATCGCCCTCAACAATTCGTCCCATGATGACTCGTGCACTGGTCTAGTGCCTTTACAAAACTACTAGAACTGCCAAAGGCACTAATTTTAGCACCTTTCGGGCTGTTTAGCGCCTTTGTGAGGCACTTAACGAAAAATGCCTTTGGTGCCCCAAGAAATGCACGACTTAGCACCTTTGCTTCACCAGTGCATTATTTGGTTATCTTCTTGACCGTCCAACCCACCCAACAATACTGGGCCACCGACGCCAGCCGCTCTGGGCTCTGCTCACCGGCCCCCTACCTCTTCCTCTACGCCGCTATTCCGACGAATAGCAAGATAGCAAGTAACACGTAGCCATAAGCAAATGACAGCTAAATATGAGAGAAAAATTAGAACACAGACAACAGACCTATTCTTAAATTTGTATCATCTGCTTTCAAGACCGATACTTGATTGAGATTTTTTGATTCAGACATGCATTTTTGTGCACATTTTGCCTAAATGTAAACGCGCATGTTTAATATGACGAGTTTGCATCTCTTCTATGGACAAAAAATAAAATTTGTCCAATTATAGGATGCAAATTTGTTACTTGTAAGATAAGTAATAATGAACTATCTCACATGTACAGAAAAATTCATTTTTTCTCAAAAAAAACTGGCCGTTTAGGTTTAGAATGCAGGCGAATCATACCTAGTATTCATTGGTAATCTTTGGTAACCATTAGTAATTTTTGGTTATCATTGGCTATATCTTTGGCAATCAATGGTAATCATTGGTATAATCCTTACAATTTAGTATCCGGCGTACATATTTTTTATGGAAAAAAGACCACCCAATCTAAAATGTACAAGCGTAATAAATTGAAAACGAAGGGATGCATCTTTATTTCATGCCTGTTTGATGTTTTTAAAACGAACCCGTTCCGGTCGCATTTTCCAGACTGTCATTACGAACTGCGAGACTCTCCAGTAAAAACTTAATTAGGGCCATCCACAAAGTACGCAAGTCATTAGCCGTTACGAACCTGCCCAGTTTCGCTCTGCAAGCTGCCATAGAGCCTGGCAGGTAGGCAACATTTTGTCTTCAATGCATGCGTGTACGGCGGGTAGGCCTACCCCGATTCTCGCAGGCGCCGAGTTCCCATTTTCATCCGAACGCACAATTGTTTTCCTTAGGAATCGCTTACGGAGAATTGTGTGCAAGAGTAATACGAATCGCAAATCATTCGTAATAAGGAAGAAATCGTTCGTAAATTATAACGACAAAAGTACTACACTCCAATTACAAATTAAGTTATAAGTTTACGACATTTTTAAAGGAAAATTTTCTTGTTACCATTCACAGCTCACAGTGTCAAAGGTTCAAGAAGCATAAGCAACAGTGCAGTCAAGAAGAGGCGCATCGACCTGTTCCTTAGTGTCGTAAAAAAAGCTTTCCAGGGCCGTTTACCTGGCATGGGAAGTGTGTTCTTTCCTCAATAGACAGCATCGTCAAATCACCTAGCAACAGCACATCGTGCTTCGAAAGTTCGTCACAACAGAAACGCCACAAGCAAAAGGTTCACGCCGGAGAGAGAGACCCACATCAGTGTGCCACTTTAACCTGCCACCATGCAGCTACTACTCCTGCTCGGCCTGCTCGGGTCCGCCGGTGCACGGGTGGCACGGGTCTGCCGGCCAGACACCCCCAACGCACGCCCTGACACCAAGACTGTAGATTTTTTAGCAGATGATACTTTAAATATTTTCAGTAAATATAAAGAATACATCAGTAACTTTAAGGTGTCAGCTAGCTATAACTCTCGATCAGCAGAAGATAGAACTAAGAGCAAAACCAGAAATTAAATTTTGTGTGCTGGGGGAATGGTGTCCGAGTGAGTGTCGCGCTAGACCCCTTCCTTTGCCCTGCCTAACAATACTACGCAGGATGGGCTCCTTGTTCCTTCCCTGTTTAACAATACTGCGTCGCCCTGCCCTCGCCCTCCCCGATTGTCCGCCTCTACGCCACTAGGCCGCCGAATCGTTAGATTGCAAAGCAACCAAAAATAAATACATAGCAGCTAATAAGAGAAAAAATAATAACATTGCCCTATTCATAAATTTGTATCATCTGCTTTCAAGATCGATTCTTGATTGAGACTTTTACATTACATAAAAAGATACACTCAAATCGTTGAGATCATTTTTATTTTTATCGAGCCACCCGTGCGCGATGACGTAGGAGGAAAGGGAAGGCAGTCAGGTGGGGGTGCGTCGCTATGGAAAGTGGATCACCGCATTAGTCCATAGCTAATCTTATTCGACGGGACAAGCAATATTTAAATTGCCACAAGCGAACACAGAGCGATACTAACCATGTCCACAATGTGGTCAGCTCGTCGTGAACGAGTTAATGCATTCCAATTTTCCACTGTATTCCATATCCAACCAATAGGGAACCGAACCGAGTTACGCGGGTCAAACAATTGGTCCTGTCAAGAAGTCTGCTATGTTTGACTGTACCAATAACGGCTCAGATTATCTAAATTCTCAAAGGTGCAAAGCCCAACCCTGACACGGGAGAGGGGAGTTGCGCCCAGCTGCGGCAGGGAGTAGCGTCGGCGCGCAAAAGGGGATGACGCTGCTGGCGAGGGGCAATGTCAAGCAGCAGCAGCGCTCGGACTCCAGGGCGTCGTCGAGGACACTACG